AAAAAAAAAAAAAAAAAAAAAAAAAAAAAAAAAAAAAAAAAAATGTGTAATCAAAATTTTCTGAAATACCTCATAAATCAATACAAGTTTCAATCGACACATAATTCCGAGTGGTATGGCGTGCAAGCCACTTTCCGCGCCAACTTTTCGTCCGTGAAAATTACACCCCAGTGAAACTTAATAACAGTCGCAAAACGCCGAGTTCACGACAGAATCACCAGCTCGCATTAAAAGCTGAATTTCGCGTAACGGATGAGGCTTGATGCTACTTTGTAATTAATATCCCAGTGTGTGTTTATTATTCTCCGCTGGGACCAAACAATGCCGCCGTTTCTCTCGAATGGACGCTCTGCGCGTTCACTTTATTAACGCAATTCATTTTGTCTCGCTGTTATATATAGGATCTCGAGCGTGTATTTATTCTGCCAGCTACGTCGAGTTCAACGTGAACATGCCTTGTATATTGTTTATTTTCTTTTTTTTTTGTTTCGAAAAATGTACTCGTTGTTTCAAATGGACCCTTCTACCTAAATAGTAATGGTAGAAACTTCTTACTGCAACAGATGGACGTATCCGTTTCCAGCAAGATTTAGGTAATGTGTAAATATTCAAGCAAAGTCTTTGCATTAGGTGACTTGTCATTTTGTTTTATCGTGATGGTTAAGCTTTTCGATGTAATTGTTTTGCCAACTTGCATCCAATTTATTGTACAGAATGGTAATTTTTGCTGGAATTTTTCTATAATTTTTATTATTTTTTTCTCTCAGTGTAAATTAAAAAAATCGTAAACGAAATCTTATCGGACAATAAAACATTCTAAGCTGCATTTATAACACAAGTTTGCAAAAACGTGATGTATTTTTATTCTGGCATTTGCATGACACCAAAAAAATGTATGTATCAACAATATGGGCATGTAAAACGAAACATTCAACAAACCCTAATAGAGATAAGGGATGAAAAAACGACGTGAAAAAAAAAAAAAAAAGAAGACATTCTTCATCCCATGGAAGAGGAGCGTAAATAAGTACCACGTCGATTTGGCGGGCCTGCGTGTTAACTGGGAAGAGCAGCGCTTAAAGGCGCATTAATCAAGTTCTCGGCACTCCTGATAAATCGCTTCTATCCTGTCGGTGAAAACTTCGATACTGTACAGAAGAAAAAAAAAAAAAAAAAAAAAAAAAAAAAAAAAAAAAAGAAAGAAAAATTAAAATTCATCCATGCACGTGACAAAATCCCCTCGCACCGGACTCTGTCAATTAATCACCGCGAAACCCACTTTCAGGGGCGAACGAAAAAAAAAAATAAACCAGCAANAGATTCTAGATGCTGATAAAAGTTTTATATACTCGGTAGCAAGCTGAACTTGTGATCATATACAAATAACAACCTCTTTGTAGATAGTCTGAAACCACCACCGCTCGCAACTAATTTAAGCATTACAATCGATACACACTGGTAATTTTAATTATTAATAAGATACTTAAAGGTAAGCCCAGTTGGTAATAAGTTAAATTAGATGGCATCAAATATAAAAGATAAGTAAATAATGCGTATCAAAGCTTTCCATAGAGTGCTGAAGCAATCCATTAATTAGCAGACTGAGTAGAGAGAGAATGATCTTGACAGAGTTATAGGTAAATCTATTGACACAGATTGACACAGATAAATGAGAAGACGGAAAAAAAATTAAAGTTTGTAAAGACATGTAGGACAGTTGGAACATCGTAGCAGACAATAGAGTAAATTAAAATAATTTTTTTAACGCAACAATTTTTGTAAGTCGTATTATAAATACTCTGATTCATAAATAATTGTTGCTTGCCTATGAGCCAAGATGGCCCCTTTTTCAAGGGCATGTTTTTATGATTAATAATCAAACCATGTTACAGGACAGAAGGCTCAGCCCGTTCAATTTTCAAGAAATATATTACATTATACAGCTCTTGGATGTATGCGAAGTTATTATCGAATTAGCTTCGTTAATCCTAGTAAATACAAGACATTTAATTTATACTTCTCATCCCTGATACAGAAATAGTACTGTGACCAGTAATACTCGCAGCTTTAGGTATCATTGCTGGAAACTTAATGAATCTACTCAGTCACAACTCTCTAACAAAGGTTAGATTAATTCTTGATAAAATAATAATATAAACTTTTAGATAGGTCTTTGAAATAAGAATACTTTTAGCTATTGTAACTTGGTGCTGACCTCAGCAAATATGTAGAGCGATTGACTGGGTAACTGGCGACACATTATTTAGGGATAAGTAGTCATATTAAAATTATTTAATACCTGGCTGAGAAGCTTGCTACATATTTCAGCATATATGCTAGTGTGATCTTATCTTACGTGACAAGCCAGAACGAAGCTTTTTAAAAGTAAGCTCTCCCGAAGCAAAAACAAAAATATCTACTTACAGAAGTTAAAAATTGGAAAAGAAAAATAAGCAGTGTGCACATTACCAGCTGAAGCCAAGTAGTGAGAAGTAAAAAGAAAATAAAAACATTAATTAGATCTCAGATAACTTAGTATAAGACTACAAACAAAACTGTCTTTGATCACCTAAATATCCTTTAATGAGTAATTGCCTATTTCTTGAAATAAATTTTCTAGTTTTCATAAAAACATCGAGAAAATAGTAAAATAATTATGAGTGGGCTGTACAGTGCTGCATAGTTGGCGTGAGAAGTACGGATCTAAATGGCTAGTATAAAAGGACACTTTTCTCATCAGGTTACTACAACAGCCTTAGAGGACAAGTTACCGTAACTAATAACTCACCACTTATGTGTAAAGGTATATTGCTACACCCACTATCTAACCATTACTTTTTTGTATTTTAACCCATGAAATTTATTCTGCATTAACAGAGAAAGTTTTTTTAATGTAAAAGATATCCGATATCACATGTTATCAGTTGAACTGATAGTCTTTGCACTTGCACTACTTTGCATCAAATGTACTCTTATTCGTGTGGCCTTTTTTAAAGAAGACACCGTTCCACAGGATTTTTCTATTTAGTGGTTGAGCCAACGTTTTTTGCATTGGATCCAGGCTAATAATCAAACTTAAAAAAGCCCTGAGCTTTTGGTTCAACTTCTTGTTAACAAGGCTGAAGCTTTCTGTCTACAGCATTAGATTTACCCATATTTATCTTAAGCTTTAATAGTGTTTTATATTAAAATAGGTTTAAAGATTTACGAGAAAAAAAACTAGAACCATACTAAAAAAAATCTCCAAGAAAAATCGTCCATATACAACAGTTGAGATCAGTATTTTTTCTAATTATTCTCACTGAATGTCACGCAATTTTTTGGTAGTGAACGCTGAAAGCGTTATGTATTGTTTTCATTGTCTGTTATATTGTCCGTATAGATACATGGAGTTTTTATCAACTGTAGACGAGTTAAGAGTTGCAAGAATTTTGGTAAGCTTAACTTAGTGATGTTTAACACAGTCTACAAAAAAAGCCACATTTTGTTAACCAAGTCTGGCCCAACTTGAATTACGCATTCACACAGTATCCGTACACTATTTTCTCTTATGCAGTACATCGTCTGCCAATTTGGCTCGAAGTTTTGAATAGTCTGCATAACACCATTAAGACTGTAGCTAGTAAGTACAATTCATGTGGCATTAAATATCATGTGCTTTATTAACTGATCACCTAATTTCTGGCTTACATAATAGCAAACAAAATAACTTATGTATATAGCTCACAAGTACAAGCAATACAAATACTTGTTTTTAAAACGTGTATAATATAGAATATCCAGATGTAAGATAGTAGTTAAAAGAGATAAATTGTTGCAGTAAAATTTTGTTAGCACTTACTGAGCTATTTATCATGAAAAATGATTGAACTTAAGAAATTAAAAAATGTTAAAAAATTAAATAATAATTTTCAAAACAAAAAAAGTTTCCGTATTGTCATCTGTTGTCACTGATGTAGCTTTATTAAGCTTAATATCTTTTAGGAGCGTTTCCCTTACGTTTGCTTAAAAATTTTGTTCTCAATCAAATTTTTATAATGCTTTATTTCGGAATTTTTAAATACTTTTTTCTCTCGGTGATTTTGAATAATCTAATCTTCTACTTTAAATGCTTTTGAACTTGGACTGTTTTTTAGGGAGAATTTTTTTACATGCAAACTAATGATACAAAATTCTCACTGGCAGTTTTAGTTCGACGTTTTAAAATTGGTTCGCATAATTCTTAATTTTTAAATACTTTTTTCTTTCGGTGATTTTGAATAATCTAATCTTCTACTTTAAATGCTTTTGAACTTGGACTGTTTTTTAGGGAGAATTTTTTTACATGAACAAAGATACACTATCATTAAAGATTAATGGAAAAAATTTGTAGTCAAAGATTTTTTGTAAATAATAAATGTATATCTCGAGACGAAATTTTTAGTCATTTAACTTAGGTTTTACAGGAAAAAAAGTTTACGAGCTTACAGATTTTGTAGAAGAATACGCAGCAACATATCAAAAACAATATTTATTGGTACGAATAGGACTGCTCAGTTTTAAAGGATTCATTAAGAAAACTTTGAATTTTTTATACAAAAGTTATACTTAGGAAAAAAAAACATGATTTGACGATATTTATTAAAAAATCATAAAAATTAAATGTGNAAAAAAAAAAAAAAAAAAAAAAAAAAAAAAAAAAAAAAAAAAAAGGAATGGGGGATAAAGTCGAGTTTGCAGCCAGATTAGCTCGGATGCGAGGCAGTGGCGGAAAAAAAAAGGAAAAAAAAACAAAGATGAGAGCACGCGAAATAAGAGTGGTGCGCTCGCAATCAGCGGGCTATTTCGAAGGATTCCGGCTGGCGCGCTTCGAGAGCGGTGCTCTGTCGGCGAAACAAAAAGAGCCGAAAAAGGCGAGATGTATATATATAAAGACAAACAGATGAGGTCGAGGGTGGGGGGTAAAAAGGGTAAAACAGAGGGAATGGGAGTGGGCTATGGAGCGATTGAAAAGGGTAAAAAAAGGGCACTCCAAAAGGGTTCGAGTGCCGAACGGGGTTTCGTTCTCCAGTGAGTATATGCGTGTGCCCGTGCATCGAGGGGACAAAAAAGAGTCATTTTTTCTGTACCGTGACGATTGATTATTCAATTTGATTGATTTTACTTTGATGTGATTACCAAGTGGGCCATAGGGATCGAATTTTTCGTTTGATAATCTTCAAACGCGCTTTTTTTACTTTATTTTTTTTTTTCTGCTTGGCTAATGCATTCACAAAAGGGCACAGTAAATTTCTCATTTATCTTTAATATTAATAAAATATTCTTACACTTTCCATGATTTAATATTACGGAGGTATCGAGTAGCAATAAAAAATCCCTTTTGAAAATGTATCGGGAATATTTTGGGCTGACATATGATGTGAAATTTTCCAGATTTAAATTACAATTGCTCAAACAATGCATGCCAACAGATAATGACATACTGAACACTATAAGAGCAGACGATTCGTTTTAAATCTCAAATTAGACATTGAAAATAACGAGGAGCTATTCCATGTTAAAAACTTAGTAATATTCAAAATGTACGTATTAATTTTTTTGCAACAAACACACTACATTTTTTTACATCCATCGTATTTTATTTTCTATAACTTATTCAAAGAAATAATATTAAGAAGTACATTTTTAATAATTTTTGCTTTTAACATGTTATGAAAAATAAACTTTAACAAACTCTAGCAATTATACAATGTAGTATGAGTAAAATAGTAAAATTCATTGCAATATAAAATTTGTACTCTAGATGATATAATTTTTAATAAGCTATAAAAAAAAAAAAATAAAAAAAAAAAAATTTTACTGGGACAGCTAAAATAATTGGTAACTATAGTTTTTAAAGGGTTACTCATGCTTACAATCAGTAAAGTAAAAACTTTACTTAAAATTAAAAAATAAAAAAAAAATCATGTAACATTAAATAACTAAAATGCGTTGTAGGCATGACTTTAATTTTCATACAAATTTTTCGCATTTTCGAGTGATCATAAAATGAAATACTTAAACCACAATAAATTTTATGTTAGTAATACTCAAAAGAATTTGTATTGTTCTAACCTGACTTAAAGATATATAAACACTCGTGAGTTATTACATAAAGTCAGTCAACGCTGTAGAATTAAGCATTTATTAGTTAATTTTCGTCTATACAATCATCAAGATGAATAATTTTTGGTTGGTTATTGTATCAATAATTATTGCTCATGGTAAGTTTTTATAGTATACAGTAATAAAAAGCATCTCATCTACATCGTCGTGTAACAAGACAAATATTCTTAATATAATGCGAGAATAATTTTTTTACATTTACAAATTAATTTTTCGGTTACTACAACAGTATTAATATCAATATATTTTTTTGATCCAAGAAACACATCCATTAAACTTTATTTTAATGATTTTAAATTCGTAAATAAAATATCCTCATACTTTTTTTACAATACACACAAAAATCAATGTTCTATCACTCTCGTGTGGATTTTATCTGTTGTAAGCAGATGATTAAATTAAACTTTCAATTAATCCTGCTTCAGTATACACGACGACCAATTGATTTTATTTTGTTTTGTTATTGTTTCCGATTATGCTAAAGTAAGTACAAAAGATCTGGATGGTTGCTTTTGTTGCTACTCTTTTAAATAAAACAAGGTAACGGCCGCATCATCCACCACTACTTTTTAATGGTGCAGAAATTGATAAACAGTTAAAAAATTGTAGCTCCCAGCCAGAAAGTCGGCGCCGCAAATCCCACAGTGGAGTATCATCCGTACATCGCGTCTCTGGAGGCAGTATCGCCGGATGAAAACAATGGAAACACCTCGACATTGCACTGCACGGGTTTCATCGTTTCCCAACTCCACGCCGTGTTCTCCTGTCTGTGCGTCAAGACAAAATCGAACCTCGATTTGCGCGTTCGCGTCGGCTCGGACTCCGAAGACAAAGGCACCCTCATCGGCACGAAGAACTACACCTGCCACGATGAGTACTCGCGCTACGTGTTCACGAAGAACGACATCGCCGTCGTTGAGTTGGCAACTCCCGTGACCTTCGGTCCGAACATCCAGAAGATCGGCGTCTGCGATAAACTCCTCGGCCCGGACGAGACACCCGCCTCGCCATTCGCCGTCACGTTCAAACTGCGCTATCTACAAACCCCCACCAACGGCAGTGACAATCCCGGCCCGGCTTTTCGACCCGTGGAGTATCCCGTGATGAGTAAAAACCAGTGCAAGTCCGAATTCGAAGGCATATTCTCCGCAGCCGGTTCTCCCTACAATGCGCGGAGTTTACTCGAAAATCAAATGTGCACCGGCAATTCACCGCGAGACGGGCAGAATAATCAGCCGGCCGGGAGACCGATTTTCCACGGTGGACGTGGAAGTCCTCTGGTGGTTGGTGGGGCAGGTGGTGCCAAGTGCGTCATTGGCCTGGACAACCCGGCCGACATGGCGATACATGGCCAACCGTTTCCTAGAGTCTTCGAGGAAGCGGCCGTCCACCGGTCCTGGATCGGGTCTCTGGTGGGATTCGGCTGATTACGTTGCTGCTACTCTTGTGCACCGTCAACGCTATCAAGATTTTTGTTTTGTTTTTTTTTTTTTTTTTATCTATACTTGCATCATTAGAACGTATACTTGTATCTACGACTTCCGACAAAATGACAAACAACAAAATATCCAGAAGTCACACAAGTACCTGATAAGAATAGGGATAACAGTCACTGAATTGTTTCGAGAAAATAATCATTAGACATTCGTAAGTAGAGATAGGGTGTGAGTGTGTTGAAACTTTTTTGGTTTTTGAGTCAATAAAAATTTTATGAAAAATCTTGAAAGTGTAATATGACTATGAAGTAATAGCGAGTTTTCATTTACATTTTATTATTTATTTATTATTTTTTTTAAACTACAAAAAAAAGTCACATAAAAATAAGGCCTACCTTATATCCATAAATTTAGAAACTAAAAGGTCCCTGCCGTCAAATACAGCACTTTATGCATATAGATATAATTAATCCCTATCGTACAACAACCCCAAAGACATCTTCATAGCACACAATTCCTCGATCTAAAGTTAAAAAAAAAAAAAAAAAATTAATAAATAAACAAATAACGACCCATTACTACGGTAAACCATTTCTACTACCTCTAAATCGATTTCTCGCCCCAGCCGACGATTGAAAATCCATAGGCTTCGTAAATCCGCCAGCGAGGGCTGCACGCTTTCACGCTCGATTACCCACGAAAGCGAGGAAATCGAGAAAAAAAAAAAAAAAAAAAAAAAACGAGAACCGCGACTCGGTCTTTTAAAACAAGAGCCAGCGATTAAAGCTGACCCCAAACTCGCCCTAAGGCATTCATTAATGAACCGAATCCGAGAAAGGAAGGATAATTTCGCGCAGTCGACGAATCGCTTGCAAATTACAGCGGGCAGCTCCGAGCCCTTTTTTTTCATAAAATTAATTTTACTCGCGTCATCCCTTTCTCAAGGGGCAGGGGTGGCCGGTGGTTTTGGCTTTTTGTTTGTTTCATACTCTCCTCTTTCGTTCGTTTGTTGCCGCTTTCTCTCCCCCTCATCCCCACACCCTTTTTTGCCAGGGAGGAATTTTCGCGGAAATGCACGGTGGTTTCAAATAACGCCTACGGCGATATAGGCCGGGCGAGCTATTTTTTTTTTTTTTTTTTTACCATTGGTGGTTTATTTATAGATTTTTTTTTTTTTTTCAGTCGATCGATACCCGTACGTACGCGGGGGAGAGGGAATAGAGATATTTGTATTCGTCTCGCGCGGTTTGCTGCTCGGGCTTTTACGCATCGATTTCGTTTATTTTGAGAGCTTTGAGGGATCGTATTCCACGTGTTTTGCCAGCGTGGAGTGTTTTTCAATAAAATTTTTTTTTTGTTTTTTTGTTTTTTTTTCTTCCATGGTTCCACGTTAGTGATCGCCACGCGGCTAGCAGAAGTAGTTTTGTGGTGTCGAATTGCACTTTTTTTTCTCAGAGAGTGGAAGATTTTAGCATGAGAGTTTTTTTTTTTATCAATGATTCAGAATTCAATTTTGTTTCTGATTGCTACAAAGTAACAGTTGAATCGGTACCTATAAAAACTGTGTTAGTACGTTGAAAAAAATAATACATTTATTGGAAAAGTTTTTTTTTTTCTCTCTAATATTTAAATTAAAAATTTTTTCTCAAATTTTTTTCTACAAAATTTCTATTTTACATGGCTTTTATTTTCTATTGGCTTCCAAACCATGCACGTGGCTTCATCGAATGAACTCGAGAATCATTATAAAATCGAAAAACATACGTCTACTATTATGAATTAAATCATCATGAAATCACTTTGCAGTCATAAATGTTGGGATCCCTCTCATAAAAACGCGTAGCCGTAGCAATTGAGTTGCTGTAGACGTGTGTACTGTCCACCAATTAAATTCTACCAACCGGTTGACGCACTATCCGCAGGATTCTCATACTGCATATGGTACTTTGAAAAAAAGATTCCCTTTGCTGTACGATGTACCAAACATTTCGTTTGGCAAACGATCCCTACGTTAAAATGCACCCAGTGTGAAAAAAAAATTGAGAGGGAAAAGATAAAACACCGAGTGCTTTCAAATAAACATCGATCCCCTCGTGATTCATGAAATTCAAATGATTTCCGCTCGAGCGAAGAAGAGTGCAGGTGAATGTATACGTATGGGCACATGAATATATCGGCGTATACTCGCAAAACTTGGCGCAAAATTTCACCCTCTTAAAAATCCGATCGGATACATGTACGAACGAGTATTTGGTGTGAAAAAAAAAAAAAATAAATAAAAACGGAAACGCAAGGCACTGCCTTGAGTTAAAAAATTTTTTTTCCTCTGCTACGTACACGCAATCATAGATAAATGTTTCATCTACTGAGCGTCAAATAATACACGTTCGCAGGCTAGGAATTGGCAACTCAACAGTTGAAATGACCGTTTGACGTTTGAATAGGTTTCTAGAATTTTTATTTATTTGTTTTTTAAGTACTTTGACAATTTTAAGTTGTACAGGATGTACAGGTGATGAAATTTTTAGTCATTTAACTTAGGTTTTACAGGAAAAAAAGTTTACGAGCTTACAGATTTTGTAGAAGAATACGCAGCAACATATCAAAAACAATATTTATTGGTACGAATAGGACTGCTCAGTTTTAAAGGATTCATTAAGAAAACTTTGAATTTTTTATACAAAAGTTTATACTTAGGAAAAAAAAATTAATAAAAAGTTAAAATTTTTTACTTTCTATCTCCTGTAATTAAGGTTCGACTGATATACAACATTTTTAAGGATTTATCCGTTAAGTACCGATAAATGTAGATTAAATTTTGTAGGAAAGTGGTTTCGATAGGGGATGAAACTGACGAAAATTTTTGCTTTGTTTAACTCCTGTTTTTTTTAAATTTGCATGAGTGTTTAGTCTTGTCAATCCCCTGTATCCGTCGGGTCAAGCTTTTTATTTTTTCTTTCTTTTTTTCAATTGGAATAAAAATCTCACCATCAGCAAAAAAATCACGCACGTCAACCTGAAAATCCTTGCGTTCTCCTTGTTCCCGCCCGAAAAGCTCCTCTCAGATGCACGCGTTCAAAGCCCTCGACGAGGTTAGCCGTACTATGAAAGTTCGACGCTCGATAGTACCCCTCGAGAGCTGCCAAAGTATACAATCGGGAGGACCAGCTGCCACGACACTGACCCGCACACCGGCCCCGCCGTTGCTGCAAGCTCTACTTACGTGATCGGTGTGTTCAATGTGTCGAAAGTCCGGTTAGGCGCATCAAAGCTCGACTTCCCTCTCGTCTCGGTGGAGACTCGTGCACCACCCCGTATACCACCCTCGCCCCCTTGTCTCTCTTTGTGTTTGACGCCACGTTTATTTTTCTCGTTTGTTTGCTCCGAGCGAGGAGTACCTGCTTATCCGGAAGCCGCGGATGTACGCGTGCAAGGCTGCTGCTGAGTGTCCACGGAAATACGTTTCTTCGTCCTGTCTTTCTACAACAATCCTATACGTAATGCATAACTCGTTATTTTTATCGGGAACGCGGAGACAAATAAAAAAAAATTTTACTTTTTACAAACACACTGCACTGTATTTTTGGACGATAAGTATAATTCAAATCTATGTAAAAAGTCCGACGGTATTCGATGTTTCAAAGGGTCAAATATGAAAGTTTTATTAGGAGTGTGTGTACACACGCCGTATTCTAAAATGTAATATTATATTCAACGTGGAATTGAACGATCGACTATCGACTCGTTTTGATTCCAGCAATGAAATAACGCGTGTATAGGTACATGCATGTATATTATATGAACTCCTTCATTATATACTTCACCAACGCGATGGGAAAAGCATTTCCAAGTCGTTGAAACATTGAAACCGCCAAATGGAAACTCGAACGAGTATTGATTTTCGGCAAAAGGTTACCACTTTCGATGCCTATATACATACTTTATATAATACTGACACCAGGCAACCGAAGTTTGAACATCGATCTGAAATTGTACCTATACGGGGAATAAATTATGCACATAATTGCGTGCTAGATTATTTATACCAGTCCTCACACATATACAGCTTTTAAAACCGTCAAACATGGATTTCGAATCTATTGACTAGAAAATTGACATCTATGAAAACATCTGTGTATATATATATATATATGTGTGTGTGCATTTGAATATTTTTTCAATATCATATATATATACATCTACACACATGTATAAGTGGTTTATATAAAAACCAGGGCGTTTTGGCGTGCACCCGGAGAGAAAAAAAATATAAAGTATCGGAACGCGATACGCGAATGCGGGTTACGTAATGCATTGAAGGAACGTCGTGGTTTATTTTTTTTTTCTCTCGTTTCCTGCATGTATTATAATACATACGCTTGGAATTCAGCTTCGGCACATCTGCGGCTACGGTGCAGTGGCATGGAACGCGTTTAAGTGCACCCATTGGAATTTTTATTCCATGAGCTCGTTTTTTCGAGAATTCGCGGGGCGCTGTTATGAATATATCGCGTTGTTGGTGAGTCGGCGGGGATTTTTCTCCATCGCAATACTTGACGCAAAACGAATCTTTAACTACGAAGGGATTAATCCATCTCTTTTTTTTAAGAACATCAATTGGACGCATAAATCAAAATTTTGATTTTCATCTTGCATGGTCGACTGTTTTTGTTGCGTGGTTGGCAATTGCCATCAATGAACAAATAGACTTTGTAGCAATGCCATGATTTTTTTTTTTTTTTTTTTTTTAATAACTACACCTTATACGCGCGTAACAATCCCTCACCTTGACATTGGTTCCGTCGAACGTGAATTGTATGTCCGGGTAGTCGGGGATCCTTTCCAGGTCGGTTTTGACGAAGCAACCGGCGGACAGCACGCCCATGGCTGACAGCGCGTTCCTCTGGGTCTTCAAGTACTCCAGGGAGTCGTTTTTCATTTGGTCCAAGCTAGCCAGGATCCTCGTTTTCTCGCTCAACTTTATGGTCAGCCCGTCCATTCGCGGGTGATCGTGGAGATTCCTGCCGACCGGCAGGTCCTGGATCGCGTCGATTCCCAATTCCCGCAGATCTCATAAATTATAACATCTCAGAATAATTTAGTAAAATAAACATCGTAGTTAACATCGCAGTTGTTGGTCAGTAAGGTCACTGATGTAACCTGGTATGTATAACAATATGTAACTGTGACAAAACGTTTTTCGTCACCTTTTTTTTCATAAATATTAGTTAATACAGAAATGCAAATGTATTACGATAATTATTTCTTTGCTTACGTAACAG